CCGTACGCCCACCACACAACAGCCACCCACCACCGCAGCACTGCTTGCCTAGCTTCACCCCCCTCGCTCCTTAACGTATCTATTTAGTATTTGTTTTTTGTTTTTGTTTAAATCGCCACATCGCCACATCGCCACATCCGCATTGAGGGTGGTGCAGTACAGTACGGCATTCTTGCTCTGAGTTTACTTTTCTAAAGAAGGAAAGAGAACAAAGGGGACAGCAATCATCAGACTAACGTATTATAATCGAATAGAATCAATCCACAATAATGAAGAGCCAAAGAACGACGAGACGGCGAATGAATATCCGATGGAATCTTAGTCGATTCCATTTTCTATTGGGTCTCTTGCTGCTGTGGCATAATAGCAGAGACAGCCAACGGCTCGATGGTGTGAGTTGCAGCAGTCTGGATAGTGGCCTTTCCGCGTACATCAGCAGTGGTCTCCCCGTGGCGTGTGCAGCACTGGATCGACGAAAAGCCAGATTATGAAATAGTAATACAGAAGATGATGCTATCGGAGGGAGCAATGGCACGGCTCGGCTGATTTTAAGCAAGCAGAGAGCCAACGACAGCCAAAATCGTTTGGTCAAATATTAGCCAAAGCTGGACACAAGGCCGTGGGAGGAGGAATACCAGGAATGGTGGCTGGAGTTGTTCAGATACGTAAAACATTGTTATTGGCTGTGCGCGGATTCTTCTGAAAGATTCTACAGCTATTGGCATTGCTACATGTACATCTCTGATCCTCCACGTTTCATTCATATTCTGCTCATATAGGTCTTGTCATTGATGTGGCTCCGCACAATCATCAACTATCAATGCAGGTGAGTATTACAGGTTCGATCCAGATGCCCTCCTTTGGGTCTTTAGCCATAGTTTTGCACTAACCATTCTTCGTGCCAATCTACAAATCCACACACACTAGTATTTTTCATATACGACACCACTTTTCGAGAGGCTTGGTTACTGACATACGCACGTCTATGACGTGGCGCTTTAACGCTAGTTTTAAGTCTAATCTCACAATATCCGATCGTAGTTCACTCTGAATTCAGAAGCAAGTTCGGTTGGAATTTGCACATCAAGCAAAAGAACCTTCCTGCGTACATTCTACGCAGCCGTATACTAGGCGTTTGGCCATTGTCAAACAATTTCGAAAATTCACTCGATTTCTATTAACAACGGTAACTCAAGGGTGTAACTCAAAACGAAGTTACTCCTTTTTCTTTCATTGTCATTACTTGCGACTCTTACTAACCATAAAGCCACAAGTATTGTTTGTTTGTTATTTACTTTTAGGTTTATTATCTCACCATGACGACGCTGGGTCAGTCGGGCAAGAATCCGGTCATTCCCTTGGTCTCTGAGTATAATGCTGTCGAGGTCGCTACTACCTTTGGAAGGTACAAATGATGGGATGGAGCTTGGTGTATCTGATGGTAATGATGAAGGATTTTTGGAAGGTACAAATGATGGGATGGAGCTTGGTGTAATGGATGGTACTGATGAAGGATTTTTGGAGGGTACAAATGAAGGTATGGAGCTTGGTGTAATGGATGGTGTTGAAGATGGATTTTTGGAAGGTGCAGATGATGGAGTAGGGGTTGGTCGTGGAGTTGTAGTGCCTTCGGCTATAATTGCTGGTGCTGACATATTTTTAAACACATTTGTTGTGGGCAGGTTTGGCACATAATCCCGAACAAAGTCGGTGTAGTTTGAATTTTGGATGGCGTAGTCAATAAGCCGGTTGTCCACTTGCTGCAGAGACCGACCTCCAAGATTTCTTCTTATATGTTTTGCACCTTCTTCATGATCATTATCACTGGTACAAGAAGGAGCATCATTTACTCCTTCACCAAGCAACCCCGCTGTGGAAGGTGAAGCTGATACTTGAATGGCATCGTATCTTGTTACATTGACTGTCAATCCAACAAATCTAACGGCTTCTGTTTCAAGTTCTTCTTGCCTGCCAAGACCTCCAAAAGCTTGGGCAATCTCCAATTCCCAAAACTGCTCTAGTTGTCCAAACAATTCATCTACCTCAGCGTCCTCGGGAAACCTTGGAAGACCAGCTACTTTGAAGTTCCCTTTGGCTATGGTCACAGTTTCTTCCTCAGCAGGTTGGCAGATGGCACCAGCAAGACACAGGATACTAGCCAATCCGCCAGCACCAAATGCTGCTCCTATGGCCCCAGCAGCAACTGCAGTCCCCCCAGCAGCACCGGGTGGGACACCCCCACCACCAAAAAGACCGTTGATCTTGCGATCAATCTCTGAAGCTGTGTTGGAATTTGTGGCTTTGTTGCCTGTGACTGATGCAAGCACATTTTCAACAGGGCTTTCTTGTGCTGTTGGCTTCTCTTCCCCGGCAAAAATGTTTCTTGTGCTGTAGCCTTCCCTAAGTTCCTTCTGCCCCGCACTTCTCAGAAGATATCGCCTCAGCCTTTGATTTCGTGTGTGTTTTCTAGCAGGTGTGGTGGAACCTTCATGTGTACCACTGGTGCGTTTGGAATTGCCAGTTGTTGGGTTTGGATAACCATCATGTTGCTGCTGATATCTAACCTGTGGATGGTTTTGGCTGGTGTGCATTGCCACAGGCTGCTTTCGTTGGCTGGTGTTTCGAGTGTGAGCCCCTCTAATTCTCTTTGCTGACTCCCCATTCACCAACATGGTGTTTTGTCCTGGATTACTTTCAGCAGCAGCAACTCCAGCACTGCCGACAGAAACAGAAGAGCCTCCCAAACATGAAAGTAGAATCAAGAGACCCAAGGGAAAAGCTGAGAATCTGCCCTTTCCCATCCACATGATAGATGCTATGAACTGCCTCGTTCAGATATCCAATGCCTAAAGTTGATTTCTGTCTCCACCCCCACGTTGCCAGTTGTGTTGTTTTCGGTGCGGTTACTCAAGGCTTCGGCTTCCTCGCAGTGTTGATCGGTCCATACAAGATTCTGATGTTGTTTACCCCCCCAATCCAATGTTTCAAAATAAATGTAATCGTCGAACGTAATCCGTCCACGGCGGAAGTGTAGTTTTTGAGTTAACGTAGCGCCGTCCTCCCAAATTTCGAGGAGGTGCTCCATTGCTGGCGTTGGGTCTTCGAACTAAATCACGAATGACGAATCGAATCGAATGAATCGAATAGAATCGTATTACACGTTGTACCTGGTACCTGGTACCAGGTACTAGCTAGCTGTACTGTACTACAAGTACTGGAAGTACTACATGTTGTATCTCGCCAATCCGCCTTCCGTGGAGTCTCAGTCCGGATGTCTTTTGAGAGAGAGGACGAGACCAAAATTTGAGACCTGCAAAGAACCAAAAAATGGAAAGGTAAACCGTTGTACCTGATAGCTTCCAAGCTACATGTAGCAAGCTGGCAAGGGATCAATGGAACAGCTCTACTATGGATGATCAACTAAAGTGCAAAGAAGGCGGTTATGTTGCAATTTTTATAATGTTAATTCTACCTCTTCGGACGATACTCATTTCTTTCAGTCTCGTCTCTCGGATCTGATGAGCACAAATGTGGTTCTGGCCAAAAAACAATGGAACTCGTCTTGGAGACAGCAGAGCGGGCAAATGAACTGAAGGTCCCATCTCCCTAACATACATAAGTATATTTTGACGACCGTGACCGTCACTCGACCCAACCTAACTCTTGTGCCGAAGCACACAAGGTCACAGTTTGCTCTTTTGCGCCTCCATCCATCATCCAGAATTACTTCAATCGAAATCGTACAGATGAAGAAGCACACGAAGGAAAATGGAGGCATCCTTCAATATGGCATCAACGCCGTGCCGGAGGCACACGTGTAGCTCTTCTGGTCCCGGCGGTAGATCCATGTACCGGTACGTGCAAACATACCGATACCTGGCAGCGTTCGAAAGTTTGGTTAGCGTAGCAAGCATCATCTCCCCGGGGATGAGGAGCGTCTTTTGGCTATTTTGATCAGTCAACCCCAAACTCAACCACAACAAAAGCTACAGTCACAAACAATAATTGATAGAGTACGGTTCAACGACAAAAACAGCAGTCACGCCTCCTTCCAAGACGATTCAATCACCCTGTTTGACTTGGCTGACGGTGAATGCCAACGAAGCTGCACCAAAGCTTTGACGAGGACTCCAGGATAGCTGAGGCGACATGATCTGGTGACGGCCGTGACAGCAGTAGTAGCCTGACTTCTGTGCACTCGAGTCGGTTCCTGGGTAGCCGACTACTGTACAAACCCGACCAGGCAGTGCATTGATCTGGGCTTTGGCATCTCCCATTTGATTTGTACCGGTAGGCGGCCCTATGACTCTGGAAGATGGAGTCTTTTGTTTTTTCCAAAGCCTGAAGGAGACTGGATGACACTGCGTCCGAATGGATGTTCGCACCACCGTTAAATGGACGGCAATCGCTGGTTTATATACATGCACGAATTATGCCGGACGCATCGTCGTTGACCAACCAAGTGTTGAACTTGGTCTAGACCTACGGTACTTGGCCACCTCGCCTCCCTTCCACACCACCAGTGAAAAAAAGTATAGTTATCACTTTGATCAGAGAAGCAGTAATGACAGTACATTCCCAACCAACTGTCTTGGGATTTGTCAGCTACGGCCTCTACTGGATTGAACAACACTGCTGATTGATGGATTGATATCATGTACGGTACTTCACTTAGTAGAGTAAACTAGCTAAGTTAGCTCAAGGGCAAGTGAATGGTGCTCCTCTCGACGGCTGCCTCGGCTCTCGCCCAAATCATGTAAGATACATTCATTACTTTAGACTCCAATTATTAGGCAAGCCAGGAGTCTCCTTCAAGTTGGGGATTGTCGTGTCAAACGATTCTCCTTACTGTACTAGTCAGTCCAGAAACAAGCACCTCTCCCTTTTTCCTCCAACAATGGACCTCCAAAAATTGGACAAGGAGTGCTGCTTTGTACGGCCAAAATCTGCTTGGCCTGCCCCTCTTGCTTTCCATTCTATATCCATTCATCGAAATTCCGCTATTCAAAGTAGCTCTCGCACTCTTCCGGCAGGTCCTCAAAGAGTTCTCCAATCAGTTCATTGTCGCACCCGCACTTGGCGCAGTAAATATTGTTGTGTGCGACTTGACAATCCAAAGTACCATCGCAGTCGTAACCGAAAATGGCAATTCCACAGTCTTGAGAGACGCCCACCATGAGGTTATCGACGCATTCCTCGGCATAACTGTAGCCCGACTCCTTGTTTCGACCACCCTTTGTCACCAGCACCAAGAAAATAATGACACCGCCGGCAATCAGCGCCAGTTTCCCATGCTTCATCCAGGGAGACTCTTCGGCTTCGGCTCTGTGATAGTCGCCACCGTCGGCGGTTCTCTGCTCTTTTGTCTCTTTCTTGGCCATGGTGAAGGTTACGTGGTACGTGGTACGGTAGTGGACGAAGGAATGCTTTTCGTTTGTTATTTGTGTGAGCGTGGAATTGGAGTCACAAAGTTGGCATTCAAAAATGGCCCCCTGCCGGCTTGCTAGATAACTATCCCCCTAATAGATCGAAAATGGCTGGGTCCCCCTCGGACGTTTGCTCTGCCGGCGCTCTCCGAACGTTGCCCCTCCTCCGACCAGAATATTGGCGCCAGCAGAGCTGTTAAACAACTTCCTTCAACCTAATTTGCTCAAAGTCTCCCCTTGCTTTCTTGATGAGAGACTTGGCTTCGCCACTGTCAGGACGGGCACAGCACCTCAAGCCACCTACCGGTATAGCTGGGAGCACTTCTAAAACCCTGGACATGTCCTGGGGACGACAAAGTTAGTCTTCCTGCCTGCAAGCCCCTGGAACTCTAGTATTTCTTTTGAGGTGGGCAGCTAAGAAGAAAAGCTAGCTAGCCAATGCTATAAATTTCGAAGGTCGGAATCAAAACCCGTCCACATATATAATATGTGCTGGAACAGTGTTTTGCAGGATGTGAAACTGCTAGCTAGAACGCGAGTCCTATCGCGTGCCCGATTGTGCTCGTGAAAATCTTTATTTACAACGAAAATCAGTGAACTAGCTAGCTAGTCTAGTAGAGCTATTCTAATTCTCTCCAGACGCATATACTCAAACCTCGGTTCCGCAGTCGGCAAAGGAATCGAATCGACTTTGGTACCAGTTCACCCAGTCAGCCTATCCGTATGCATAGTGCGATTCGAAGAGCATTGAGCTTGCTCGATTGATAGATACTCCGGCTGACAGACACCTCAAGCTTGCTGATTGGCCACCGAACCTTGTCACGGCGTTCCCTCCAAACTACCTGCCCCAATCCTAGCATGGACACCAAGCGCATCCACAAAGATCCCGACTGCAATCAAAAGAGAGACCCTGCAAAAAAGAATGATTCCAAGGGCCCAAAGAGCAAAGCCCCGTCGGAACAGTTCCTGTGATTCCAGTAGAATTGATGTTCAGGCCCAACAATGACCCATCATTGACCAACGACACCAGCGAAGTTGGAAGTGAGCTTTTCAGTTCATTGTGGTTCAGGATAAGGTACTTTGCATTGGTCAGCAATCCCAACTCTGAGGGAACTGAGCCAGTCAGGCTGTTGTGGTTCAGAAAAAGGTTTCCTTTGGACAACAAACCGAGCTCTGAGGGAACAGATCCATCGAGATGATTGTGTCTCAAAGCTAGCCATTCCAGAGTATTGGAAAGAAGGCCAAGCTCACTCGGTATGAATCCAGAGAAAGAATTATAGCCAAGGTCAATGCCTGATACCTCCGAGAACTGGCCAAATTCTGATGGAACTGACCCTGTCAGCATATTGTCGGCCAAAGCGAGAACAGAAACGTTACGAAATAGCATTTCCATGATAACATCCAAGATCAACTCTGCATCATATGGTAGATTTTTCTCTTCAAACCTAACCAAATACTGCTCTTTGTACAAGATTGGATCTTGCAACAGGTTCCCAAGTTCTGTAGGAACTGTTCCAGTGAGCATGTTGGATCGGAGCCCCAGACTGAGGACGGTGCTGAGTTGTCCAAGCTCAGTTGGTATGGTCGATTGAAGTTGACTTACATCCAACCACAAGATCCATGGAGACAAGTTCCCTAGTTCTGACGGGATGGGACCCATAAAATTTGAGGTGCTCAGATCCAGAAAAACCATTTCATCCAACGCGCCAATCTCCGAGGGAATTTGACCCTCTAAATCATTTATCTGAAACGCTAAGAGACTGGAAAGTCTTCCAATTTCCGTGGGAACACTCCCTGAGAAACTGTTCCCTGGCTGCAGCAATTGCAACTGACCAAGGTTGCCAATCTGAGTCGGAAGAGTCCCATGTAGTAGTGGGTTCTGATCAAGATAGATGGATTTTAATGAAGTCAGTAGAAAGAACTCTGGCGGTAGTGAACCTTTGAGGCCATTGTCTTGCAGCCAGAGGAAGTCCAATTCCTCACTTTCCCCACCTCCAAACAAAGCAACAATTACGCTCTTTGCAATGAGAAAATTACCCACAATGTCCTTGTGTAGCAACCATGGGAATTCCTCCCGATTGTAGGACAGCCAATTGGTTGTATCATTCCAGCTGGTGTCACCTGCTGTGGCATAATAGAAGCAAACCAAAGCAAAATTTTCCACCAGCTGCCATGGCTCACGGGTTTCAAAATTTGGATCATGAATGGTCCAGTTAAAAGCCCTAGTTTGAGGAGACAACAGGACTGGTGACAATGTGTTGTCTAGAGGCCGTTGGTCAATGGTGGCAACTGTGTCATTTGGTAGCAGCGAAAAGAGGTAGTTTGCCCGAGAAAGTTTGTGTTGTGTGGGTTGGACAGTTGATGATGCAGTGGTGGGGTTGAGTACAACATAAAGAACGAGGGCACCCACCATCAGGGTGAATGCAATCAAGACACAGCCAACAATGGCAAAGTCCCTCTTTCTAGCCACCTGACTCGATCTCTGGCTAGTCTGGAAAGGTTCCGCCCTAGGCAACTCCTGGACTGGATTGGCCATCGCCAAATTCTCCGGTTGTGGTTCTTCAGCAGCATCAGAAAGAGGTTGATCCACTGTGAGGACGGCATTTCTCTCGTGAGCTGTAGTCCATGTGCCGTTGGTATAAAGAAATGCACCAGGCATCACGTCCTCCTGTTGTTGCGGTTGTGGAAGGTGGGTTATGGATTCCAACGCGGCGTCCCCAGAGATCACTTGGTCTTCTTCCTGTAGCGGAGAATTCCTGGAACTGGCAGAAACTGCTGTGGCAGGAGCGTTATTAGCAGAAGGTTCCTCATTCTTTGGTTCCGCAAAGAAGGCAAGATGAGCACAGGATCTTCCGGTTTCATCTTGGGGCGACGGATGGATCTCATTGTTTTCATCCGATTCATCTGTGTTCTTGCCGTGCTGTTCTTCGTTGCCCTCATTTCTGCCGTTTTGCTCACTCATTGTAGTGCTTTCTAGTAGGTACAATAGTACGCTCACGCCACTATCATAGCTCTAGCTCTCTGCTAGAGTCCCTACCGGTAGCTATTAATAGTACACGATCTGTTGTTTGATGAACAAAAAGCACGGTTGCTGCAGCCAAAGCGTGAGCCTTTGCTCAAAGATACCGTACCACTAGCTAGCTAGCTGCATTGCACTGTACGGATTCTCAAGATCCAGCCGCCGACGCACAGACCATGTCAAAGATCCAACCGAAAGTGAGTCCTGTAAAGACTGAGATGCTGTTATTTTAATTATTGTTTTAAAATTAGCAGACTTTAATTTCAAATTGTAACTCAAAAGGACATCGCCAGCGATCGCCGGCGATATCGCCAATGTCGCCGGCGATCGCCAAGATGGCTTGTGGGACTCAATTTGAAATCAAAATTGAGTTTGAAATTGAGTCCCACAAGAGTGTTGCCGGTGTTGCCGGCAACACTGGCAACGTTGCCGGCAACACTTGGCAACACTTGGCAACACTTGGCAACACTCTTGAGGTGCACAATTTGAAATCAAATTCTGATAATTTTAAAAATAATTAAAAGTATCTCAGTCTTGACAGGACTCACCGTGAGTGAATCTTGAATTGAGAATGCTATTTGAAGATACATGTACTGGCGCCATGCGATACAAAGCAGAAGAGCGGATAAAGTTTGAAGCCTACCATCTCCCATAGAATGACAAAAAGGGGTCTAGCATAGCTGGGATAGATAAAGACCCACTGGAATCATGCATGAGCCGTCGACAAGAAGAAAGAAGCATAGTGCCGGTAGTGATGATGTGGTGATGATCACTACAAGGACGCAACGGCGGAGCTCGTGGCGCGTGGAAGGTGGCAACAAATTTCAATAGGAGGGCGAGCAGGGATTCATCTGGGGGGTGTTGCAAAAGTGTCTTTGGGCCCTACGAACTAGGTTCTACAGGGGAGGAGAAAATCTGAGTGATTCGGCAAAAGGGGGAAACAACGGTGATGCTGAAAAGCAGCAATCCATTCATGTTGGGACGTAGTGGATGAGAGACACAAGAGGATTCCCATTGCCAATAAATACAGAGAAACAAACCCGAATTAATCCTTTGATGCCTGCTGTAACTTGTCTTTGGATCCAAAGCCGATGCATTGTGTATCCTGTCGGTCTGAGAATCGATGTTGGAACTACGTGTTCCATCCATGGTTCGGTCAGCTTTGGATTTGTTCCCCGGTAGCATGTTTCCTATTTGCACATCGTACCGTACTGGTAAGGAAGACAAGACCAAGAAGGCTGCACAGTTGTCGTGTCGCCTTGCTGGACACAAGAAGCTTTGAAGTTTTGTTCCGTGTGGTGGTTCGACTTGCCCTCGATCGAACGACTTTCATTCTGGTCGATTGAGCTATAGCTATTCCATCGCAGACGGGGATCCACATGACATGTCTTGGCTCGAAAAGACTGCCATGCCAGAGGAAGGAATCTTGCATGCAACTCGAATATACTCGTCATCTTCTTCGCTGTGCATGGAAGGCTTGCGAATCACCAACTGCGCCACTTCCGATGGTGCTCCTCGCACATTGACGCCGAATCCAGTCGATGTGACTGCCAGCCCGGAAAAGCGAGCTTGACTGACAGGGGTCCATTTCGTTTCGGCTTCGCCCAAAAAGCAATAGCCATTCGGCAGCATGGGTGCGACGGCATAGACGTGAATGTCCGTTTCGGTGCTTTGAGGGACCCTCACCGGCAGTGTTGTGGTGGGTGCAAATGTGTTGGTGTCTAGCTCCCACACAACGTTGCCTCGAGTATTGTTGTTGCTTTGAGATTGATACAGGTCGGCTTTTGTCAATGCAAAGGACGGACTCTCAATCGCCAACAGATACGTGTAAGTGTACCCGGAAAGGTTTGTCATGGTACTCCAGACTTGTCGTCGTTTTGGTTTGCCATGGCGGATTTCATCGTGCAGCGGCTTGAAGAGTCCTGCCGCTTCGAGAATTGTCGTGTCGGTGGGAGCCGCTGGTAGATCCGGTTGCAACAGTCTTCCATCGGCCGCACACGACTGCATGATGCGACTGACATTCCAATGAAGCATGCTATCCGACGGGGATACTGTCCCGGTCGAGTAAGTGGCAACCACGGAATGCAATCGTGAGGCCACTTCCTGATTGTGAAGCCCCCCGTCGTAATGGTAGGAGTGATTCTGCGGTACCGATGAACTCCAAAAGCTATCCTTGAGTGGTGCAATGTCTAGGGCATCCAAAAACATGCCACCCGAGACTCCCATATCCCAGTTTCGTCGCCCCAGCGAAGGACGGTAGTCTCCCGATGCCCGTGCCTGCGTGACTTGATCACAAGTCAACGATTGCAGGACATGCCGGGGCCACGTCATGCACCATTGCATTGGCAGGCGACGTTGTTTGGCGGCTTGTCCCATTTGGGTCAACCACGTTTGTGCACTCGATACGTTTTGCAGCAAGTAATCCATATTTTCCATTTGCACGTCCATCCAATCTTGTTCGTAGACAGTCAACCCCCAGCGTTCTTGGGCAGACTGGAATAGGTCCATCCAAAACCGCGTTTCCACTGGAATGGCCGTGGGCGTTGTTTTGGTGGCAGTCGAACGCAAGTCTTCCATGATGAATTCGTAGTCGCCTCCATTTTGTTTGGCATATGTATTATCGGCCGACCAATACCGATTGTGTGCCACAATGTCCCAATGCGTCTGTTTCTGAATGTACTCCAATCCATCGGGAAAGACATCGGGACGAGCCTCCCATGTCTTGACGCCACCCCCGCGTCCCTGATAGTACCACCACGAATCGGCCAACCAATTGCGAATGGGCAATCCCGCAGCTTGGGCGTGTCGTTTCAAGTCAAGTATCGTTTGTTGATAGGTCTTATTCTGCTTGTGCTTGTTGTCGTCTGGTTGTTCCTGTTCCGTGGTTTGATGATAGTAAAAGGCTCCATTGTCCGTGTTGTACTGTAGATATTGCAATGTCTTGTCATTTAGTCTCGGACGGGATGTCTTGTAGAGTTTTTGCAATTTGGCACCCCATTGTTGAAAGGCTTGTCGGATCCTGTCCGGGCCAGCATGCTGCTTTGGAAGAATGGGAGACGAGGACAATATGACGGATAAGTTATGTCCCTTGGGAATTTCGGGTATGGATCCCATGACACCAAATCCGTACTCTTGCAGGTCGTTTCGAAAGACGGGACTGGTGGACATGAAGGATGATGCCGTGGACAAAATTACCATGCACTGCGGGGTGAACAATGCCAGAGGACCTCCTTTGAGTAGTTCTTCTCGTTGTGCCAAGGCATCGATGGTGTCGATCCGATAGGATTCGTGTCCTGCCATTTGTCCGTGCAATTCGATAAACCCCATTTTACTTTGAGGAGCAAGAATTCGAAAGGACGGAAACAAAGACGCCACTCCGAGATTTGCCGCGTCTGTTGTGGTATTGGCGGGGAATGCGGTTTGGTGGAGTGTCGTCGGAAAGGATTGTCCAAAGACAAGAGTCGTCGTGTCCCGCTTCATTCCATTTTCATGGTGGTTGTAGTAGTCTCGATAGAAAACCTCCCATTCTTTTTTCTGCTTCTGATTGCCCATGTGGAGTGTGGATGCTGTTTCTTGAAAGTTTCCCAAGGGATCCGTGTCAAGCCGTGATCGAGTAGTAGGCTGATGAAAGAGAGGAGGACTGCTGCTCAGGTTGCGACAAAACTCCTGACCATCCAATCGGACACAGGCATGACCCAATGCCAACCATGGCACTCCACCCACAGTGACGGTGTTGTTGGTGGGATGAAACTCGAGCTGACAGGAGGACACTTGTTCCGGTACAGTCAGATTTTGGTTGCTATTAGATGCCGCAACGAGGAACGCCGCGGCAGCTCCAACAAGTATCAACCGAATGATAGTAGAAATCATGGCAGTGCTTTCAAACAGGCTTCGTGCCTCTTTGTTTACTAATACTGAAGGGTGGCTGCCTATCATATTGGTAACTCGATCAAGGCTTGGATGGACGGACTTGTTGTTGGCTGTGGAAAAGATCCAATCTTTTTGGAGAAAGTTGAGTCACGGATCAATGATCTTGGGTGAAATCTCACCCCCGAAAAACAAAATCACCCAAGATCCCAGGAGGGTCCAAGCCAAGACAAAGGTAATGGATCTCGGGTGATCTCGGAGATCCAAAACACGACCCGAGATCCGAGATCCAAATGATGGCACTTCCAGGTATTGAAAGGAAGCTTTTGGCAACGGCTCGGTAACGAGGAGCACTGGAGGAAGGTGGCGGGACAAGGGATGGATCTGGCACAGCCGCTGCAAGAGCTGCCAGTGGAGCTCTTGCAAAGTTGTCTGTTGGACGAGGCGGTCGCTTGGAGTTCGAGCACCTCTACGGCCGGTGCAGAACAGAAGACCATCCTCATTGAAATCATGATACATACCAGCTGGGAATGTTTTCTTTTCTCAGCTAATGACAGTCAAGTTGGTGAATTCGAAGAGCAGGGGCAAGTCGCCCGTTTTCTTCAGTCTTCAGCATCAGAATAGAAGAGAAAAGCATCTGTTTCTTACATGTACTTTCTATTCTCTTACTACTGATGGCCGATGCAACACCATTCTCGAGTCAAGCCCTTTTCCAGTCAATCCATCCATCCCTCCGGATACGGGAAACTGATCGGAGGTTTGTGCTGTGCTTCGAGGCTCAAAGTGTTAAACCTTTCGGCCAGGTTTGTTTAATCTTTTCAAAATGTCTTAATTAATGATACCGCAGAAGATCCGCTCTGTCAGTTGATAACGTTAAACCTTTCTGATCACAACAATTAAATCCATGTTTTCACCTTTAAATCTTATAACATAGAGCAAGAAGCACAGTAGACACAATGATTGAAGATTCAAATTCATCTTTCAATCTCGGGCGGAGAATCTTGACTCTCGGCATGGATTTCGAGTACTCTCGATTGTATTGGAATCTTGGGTAATAAGCAAAGATCGAAGATCCAAAAGATCCACCCCCAAATTTGCATTTGCGGGACTGACTCTCTGCTGTCACGGTCCCAACCAAAAGCAGCGCTTTCTCTATGGTCTGCCAGTGTTCCAAGGGTGTTGCCACTCGATTTCTGTGTTGGAGACATGTGTGGGCGCTGAGCCCGCAGCTCAAATTCATTTGAATGATTGGGATTGCCGCTTGTACTTGGACTAGAGCTGCTCGATATCTGGCCAACTGAAAATCGTCAGGCCTGGTTCGATTTCGTTACAATGACGTGACGCGATTATGCAACCAGCCAATCCTTACTAGCTAGTAATACGCCTGCGACCTATCCGGTGGTATCTTACTGTGATCTTTATTAACAATACGACGGCTATCTTCAACTTTGATTGCCCTTTTGGGCATCCTGTACCAACATATAACTTTGCGGCATCCCCCCACCCGGATGTCCACTCACGGCAGGAAACAAACCAAGCATGCCCCTCTCTCGAACCTTTGCAAGCGCAATCCTCCGTTCCATTGGTGGAAGAGGTTCCATCCATTTCAGGACGACATGCATTTGGGTTGAAACCATCTAGGTCAATAGGAGGTTGCTTGGTTTCTGGTAGTGGAACCCCAAAGAGAACTAGTCGGTAGATGTAGAAAGTTGAGACAGTGCTGTCAACTCGCTTCCACTCTTGGACCTTGACTCGTGTGTACACAAAAAAGTCCAGAAAGCCCTGTTCGAAAGCATGAGCATGAGTTAGTTGTCTTGAATACAGGGAGTTGACCGGCATGTATTGAATGGTGAATCCCTGTACTTGAACAAACGCACCTGCAGGGGATATGATATCCAGAAAAAGACATGAAACGCAAAATATGCCGGGCTCACAAACTCAGTCATGATCTCTGATGTTGTGTAGCCAGTGAAAGGCTTGTTTCCCAGTGCACCACTGACAATGGGCCAGATGAATGTGTTGAGGTAGACAAGGGAGTACAGAATGGCTTGGGTTGCCACTTGACGGATCCGTTCATCGCAGCTGGAAGTACATGTATGGTTGCTATGCCGAAAGCATAGTTGAGACAAGATTTTGGAAAAGGTGTACCTCCCAAATGATGGTTTCTCATCATCTTGTTGACGCCTGTTGGGAGGCGCGACAACGATTTCGCCATTGGAGGTGCGTTCGGTGCCTTCCTCCTTCATAGTATTCTCTCGGATGTCAAAGTTTTTCATGGTTCTCTGAAAGTTGTATCCATTGCTTCTCCGAAATGTGTTCCGAGCCTTACAGTAGACGAGAGTGGTGGAGGTAAATCCAATGAAAGAAAGGTGCAGCACACCACAGTAATGCGTTTAGTAAGATGGTGTCTTGGTGGTGGTTAGAGCGCTCACATAGACTCTCATCATAACGACATTCCCAGGGGGGTGGACTGACAAAGCACAGATTCTTCACAACTGTGTTGGTGTTGATTGCTTGCATGGAGACTGCCGGGATGGCAATGACCAGGGCAATGCAAGTGCAATTGAATATGCAATGTATTCTTTGATGGGAGTGAAATGCTGTTATCTCCAGTTGTGACATACCACCAAGAGGAAGTAGATGCTCAAATATCAGTTTAAAATGCGTCCAACCACTGCAGAAGTCACAAAGAAGAAGAAGCCTGCAGTTGAACAAGTGGTGTGATTGCCTGCAGCTCCAGCCAATCCCTCGTCTGCTGGAGCGACAAAGGGCATGACAAGAAGAGATGCTGACGCGAACAAGTCTGCAAGGCTCAATCCAAGCGAGAGTCGCTGCATGATTTGGGGTTTCTGATAGTTCTCTCGGAGCCCCATAGCCATGACACTTGAAGAACCTGCAATACACAAGATGCTAGACAAGACACGAATCACAATCAAGGGGAAAGGTGCTCTGGGTCAAAGTGCCAATCAGGGCGATCCGTGGCGGTGGTGCCGTTCATACTGAACTATTTCTGGTTGTGAGCCAACAACTTGGTCTTTGTATTTGCTACGGTACTGCTTAGTAAGCTCCATCCACTCGTACTGGATGTGAGGTTACATTCGCACAGCTGTGTACCGGTCTCCTACCCGAAGCTGGGCATCGAAGAATTTGCAGCTTTCTTCGAACTTGGGCGCACTCGAACAAACTGGTACCTACGCTGTAACAGACAAACGACCAAGAAACCAACTCGTTTCCTTCTCAGATCTCGTTCTGGGGCCTGTGAATGGCCAATATCTCCAGCTATCGGTACCAGGTACCGCGGTACAGCGTACCGCAAAGCCTTGCAAGGGCTCCTCATGCCCGTGAGAGCGCAAATCGCTCAAGAGGTGGTACCGGTACCAGTACCTCTAACCCTACGGTATGTACAGTGGTTCCCCTTCATGACGTCATGTTCGGTTTATCCCCGACTGAAGGAAAGAACACAGGAGCCCAAGAAATCCCACGACACGACGGAACCCACGATAACAGCACAAGAGGCACAGAAGCCGATCTTCAATCCCAAATCCAGAGAAGAAGTGGTTCTATCGATGCCTCTCTTCTTTGCCTGAGCCAGAAGCCTCATAAAACCCCACAGCGCAAAGACTTCACTTCACAAGAACCAACAGAGCAAGAAAGAAAGAAAGAAAACAGATTGACCATGTCGGCTATGCGCGAGATTGAGAACGAATGGGTGTTGGACTTGGATACGAAGAAAATGGCGGCCATGTCGGCGACCGATTTCATGGTGTCGTTGGCACTCCCCGAAACGTTTCTAGCGGGCGAACCAGAGGCAAACCATGCCAGTGTGCTTCGGTTGTGGACTAGCTTTTGCGCCAAAGTACGCGAATATGTCAAAGCCAAGCATTCCATCATGCAAGTCCAAAATCGTCGCTATCGCAAGGCCGTCTTTCATTCCACCATGGAAAACTTGTGTCTCCAATTCTCCCGTCGCACGGAAACGCTCAAGGTGCGACTGATTGTTCATGACAAGGCAACCACGGGTAGTGGCAAGACGACGTACCAACTCAAGATTGTGCGTCTGAGCGACATTCCAGATGAATGCCGCAATGTCCAATTCTGCACGGCCGAAATTCCACCCTCCGAAATGCAAGCGTATGCCGAGTTTGTCCAAACCACACCTAACAATGTCGTCATCACGGGACGAAACGCCACGGCCATTCAAGTGCAACCGGCTGTCGTCTTGTCGGATAGTACGGATACTTCCAGTAGTGTGGTGACACTGGAAGAAGACCAAGGTGGATTGGTATGGTCCACACGGTCTCTGGACAATGTCGTCGTTGCAGCAACCGCCGAGGTAGAAGACATACACAATTTGCACTATATCAATCCACCCATTGCCATGGCAGTGGCAGAGATACAGTCACAACCAGCAGTGCCACCGGCAGCAGCAGCAGCAACACAATCCAAAACGGTACTGGAGCGAATGCAAGAATTGGAATCCATCAAGCCGTTCTTGTCAGAGACGGAATACCAAACCAAACGACAAGCCATTCTGGATGGAATATAAATAAATGAAACCGTGGTGGTTCATGGCGGTCCTGCACAAGTTTGCTAAGGAACAAACACGAAAACAACTGTGTGTTTATAACAATCTGAACATTTTATACGTGCATCAGCTTCTCCTTTTGCTTTAGCTGGCCCGGTGGCATCTTTCTCCTGCATGGATTGTTGTTTTGTCTCGCTGTCGTAGTTTTCCTGGCATGTGGGTTCAGAAGAGAGGGATGGAGGAATGAATCGAATCAGTCCTCGCCGCTGAGCCGTTGGCCAGTACCGTACCGTACTCATTCTTGCTGCTTTGGTACCACACCCAACGTGGTCAGCCACCTTTGGCTATCGCTTCTTTCGCCCATTCTTTTGCTAACATTCAAGTTAGTTTTATGCATTTTTAAAAGTATTAGTTGTCATTCGTTCATTCTGTCAGCCGTCTCGTTGAAATGCGTTGGTCTCGTTCGTCGTTCGTGCTTTTCACAATCAATCAATCAGTCAATCAGTCAACTATGTATCATGCATACAGGTGCCAAAAGCCAAAGCTAGTCCCTGGCCTACTACATGTACTAGAAGAATCCCTTACGCAAATAGCGACCACGACGATCTTCGTCCTCGTCCTCGTCCTCGTCCTCGTCTTCGCCATCGTCTTCGTCATCCATTGACTCGGGAGAGTCGCCCATGGGATAGCTGCCAGATGTAGGACCATTGCCCGAAAAGCCTTCCAGCATGCCCTTGAAACTGCCACTGATGATACCAAGGGTGCCACGGCCATGAGCTCCAGCGAAACCACCGGTTCCATCTCCACCACAAGAACCAGTAATATCACCGGCTCCATTGGGGTGACTGGGGGCATAGGAAGTGACATCGTAGACTTCTCCATAGTAGGCTACCCAACAGTCACCAGAACTTCCATGGCTGGCAAGTTCGGCCGTGCTGATTTGACCACTGTTGCCTCCCGCGTTGCCACCGGCGTTGTTGCCTCCCGAATTGCCGCCACTATTGCCTCCTTCATAGTCTCCAAGCCTGTATTGTTCTACCATGGACATGTAGCTGTCAGGATGGATGCCTTGGAATCCAGAAGTAGCATCACCTCCACAGCTACCGTGAACAAGAGAGTCACCTCCTGGGTGGCTATAATCTGTCAAATCGTACACCACACCAAAGTAAACGCTCCAGCAATCACCCGAAGAGCTGTGCTGAGACAGTTGAGCAGCAGTAATGACTCCATTGTTGCCACCACCAGAGTTGCCTGGTGCAGAAGCTGGTTCCGGGGCTGGAGCCGGTGCGGGGGCACTGCCATCATAGGGTCCAACCTTGTATTGGCACACCTGGTTCATGTAGCTATCAGGGTGGATACCCTGGAAGGCAGATGTGGCATCACCACCACAGCTGCTATGGATAAAAGAATCGCCACCTGGGTGGTTGTAGTTCGTAAGATCATAGACTTCATTGAAATAGACACTCCAGCAGTCAGAGGCAGAGTTATGCATCGCAAGGTCAGATGCTGTGACAGTGGTACTGCCTCCTGCATTGCAACCCCCACCATTTCCAGTGTTCATGGTATCTTCCTCGTCCTCGTCATCCTCGTCGTCTTCGTCCTCGTCAGAATCCATTGGGAAGTTGTAGTCGGGGCCACCACTGTAGCCTTCCATCATCCCCACATAGTATCCACTAACAATGCTGAGCATACCACGACTGTGCTCATCTGCAAAGTTTTCAGTACCGTCTTGACCACAATCATCTGTGATATCACCAGCTCCATTTGGATGCATGGGGGCATAGGCTGTCATGTCATAGACTTCACCATAGTAAGAAACCCAACAATCCCCAGAACTTGAATGCATGGCAAGCTCGGATTCAGAAATTGAAGCTCCAGTGCCACCTCCATTGCCACCACTGTTGCCACCGCTGTTGCCTCCTTGATAGGTGCCAACTTTGTATTGGCTAACCATAGACATGTAGCTGTCAGGATGGATACCCGAGAAACCTGCTGTGGCATCTCCTCCACAGCTTCCATGCACCAAGGCATCACCACCTGGGTGGGAGTAATCTGTCAAATCATAGACCTCTCCAAAGTAGACACTCCAGCAGTCACCAGAGGAGCTGTGTTGAGACAGTTGGGCAGCAGTAATGACACCAGAGTTGCCACCAGAGTTGCCGGGTGCAGGAGCTGGTGCAGGAGCCGGAGGTGGTGGAGAAGGATTGCCTGAACTACCCCCTTGGTAGGAGCCCACCTTGTATTGGCTTACCATGGACATGTAGCTGTCTGGGTGAATCCCTTGGAATCCAGAAGTTGCATCTCCTCCACAGCTTCCGTGAATGAAGGAATCCCCACCTGGGTGGCTGTAATCCGTCAAGTCATAGACCTCCCCAAAGTAAACACTCCAGCAATCACCCGGAGAGCTGTGTTGAGAGAGCTGCGCAGCGGTTACAACTCCATTGTTGCCTGGTGTTGGTGCTGGTTCTGGAGCAGGGGCTGGTTCCGGTGCAGGTTCAGATTCAGGTGCTGGGTTACCACCAGAGTTTCCACCTTGGTAGGATCCAATCTTATACTGGTCCACCATAGACATGTAGCTGTCAGGGTGGATTCCTTGGAATGCAGAAGTTGCATCGCCTCCACAGCTTCCGTGAATGAAGGAATCCCCACCTGGGTGGCTGTAATCCGTCAAGTCATAGACCTCCCAAAGTAAACACTCCAGCAATCATCAGAAGAGCTATGTTGAGAGAGCTGGCCGTCAGTAATGACTCCATTGTTGCCACCACCTGAGTTTCCTGGTGTTGGTGCAGGTTCTGGTGCCGGAGCTGGTTCAGGTGCTGGGTTCCCACCAGAGTTTCCACCTTGGTAGGATCCAATCTTGTACTGGTCCACCATAGACATGTAGCTGTCAGGGTGGATTCCTTGGAATGCAGAAGTTGCATCGCCTCCACAGCTTCCGTGAATGAAGAATCCCCACCTGGGTGGCTGTAATCTGTCAAGTCATAGACCTCACCAAAGTAAACACTCCAGCAATCATCAGAAGAGCTATGTTGAGAGAGCTGGCCGTCAGTAATGACTCCATTGTTGCCACCACCTGAGTTTCCTGGTGTTGGTGCAGGTTCTGGTGCCGGAGCTGGTTCAGGTGCTGGGTTCCCACCAGAGTTACCACCTTGGTAGGTTCCAATCTTGTACTGGTCCACCATAGACATGTAGCTGTCAGGGTGGATGCCTTGGAACGCAGAAGTTGCATCTCCACCACAACTGCCATGAATGAATGAATCGCCTCCAGGATGGACATAATAAGTCAAATCATATACCTCTCCAAAGTAAACGCTCCAGCAACTATCGGAATCACTATGTTGAGAGAGCTGGCCGTCAGTAATGACTCCATTACCAGGATTGCTGCCTGGTGTTGGTGCTGGAGCAGGATTTCCTGAACTTCCATCACTGCCATCACCAGGACTGCTAGGAGCTCCTCCTCCATTCGGAACGTAGACACCAACCTTGTACTGGGTGACCATGGACATGTAGCTGTCAGGGTGGATACCTTGGAAGCCAGCTGTAGCATCTCCTCCACAGCTTCCATGAACGAAAGAATCACCTCCTGGATGAACATAATCAGTCATGTCAAAAACGTCACCAAAGTAGACACTCCAACAGTCATCTGATGAGCTGTGGGCTCGGAGCTCCGCTGGTGTGATAAGGTCTACGTTTCCGCCGCTTGCTGGGGGCATAGTCACTGAGATTCCTCCGCCGCCACCGCCACTGCCTGGTGGAATCGTCATGCTAACAGATCCGATAGAGCTCGGAGGGGGGGATGCCTGCGGTTGAGGGCTGGCCACTGGGCTAGCCGTCACCTCACCATGAAAGGCTCCTTCCAAAGCGCCAACATAAAAGTCACTTATACCAGGGCTCATTGCGGCAAAGTCTTCGAGGCCGATCTCGAATCCGCAGGGTACGTTATTGATATTGAATGGCCCGACTTGCAATGATTTGCCAGTCTTTGCAATGACAACATCAGGAACTTCAGGCTCCGAATCCGCATATTCGGTCACATTAAAGACACGACCAAAGTAGCTCACCAAGCAATCTGCCGGGGTGTTGCTGGAGGCGAGCTCTTCACGGCTAACGATGTTTTCCAAGGGTGCGACCATGTAATACCTGGCAAAAGTCTCCAAGATAATCATGTCATGGCTTGTGTCGAACATTGCGCTACAATCCATTCCACAGCATCTGAGGATTTCGTCCTTTCCACCAGGATGGATGATCATGAAGTATGTAAACTCGTAGACATTCTCATGGATGGCCACCCAGCAGTCGCCTTCATGGTTGTGGGTGGCGAGTTCGACAGCGGAAACTTGCTCTTCTGCTTCCTTCACTGGAGGTGCCGTTGCAGACGGTGCTGGATTGGGCGCACCTGTGACTGGTGGTGACGTTGTAGCCGAATCTGTTGGTCCAGGGGTTCCAGGAGTAGCGGTAGTAGCTGAATCGGTTGGTCCAGGGGTTCCAGGAGTAGCGGTAGTAGACGAATCGGTTGGTCCGGGGGTGCCAGGAGTGGAGGTTGTAGCAGCATCTGTTGGTCCAGGGGTGACAGGAGTAGCCGTTGTAGCAGCATCTGTTGGGGATGGGGTTTGTGGCGAGCCAGTTGGTCCAGGAGTAGCAGCTGTAGGCTCGGGAGTAGCAGCTGTAGGCTCAGGAGTAGAAGCGGTCGGCTCGGGAGTAGAAGCTGTCGGCTCAGGAGTAGCAGCGGTTGGCTCTGGCGTAGAAACGGTGGGAGATGGTGTGTCCACTACCTCGACCAAGGGCCCGAGGTACTCAATTCCAGGGAAGATATCCATGTACCCGGGAGTATCGCCATGGACAGCATCAAACATTTGAGTGGCCTCTTTTCCACACATGGCATAGACAGAAGGGTTAGGATGAGTTGGAGCGTAGACAGTAACGTCGTACACTTCACCGTAGACGGCACTCCAGCAATCGTCATTGGCGCTATGGGCAGCCACATCGTCCAAAGTATATGACTGCGCGCGAACCTCTGGGGCCGCCAACAAAGCAATAGCAGCCATGATGCCGCCGAGGTTCGTCCTCATAATCATCATACTGGTTCTTGTTGTTGTTCGGTTGGGTCTCTTGATTTTATGAACTGATTTCGGGTTGTTGGAAGCACTCTCTGCTTTCTTTCTTCGAGACCGAAATTGTGAGGACAAGATGATGTGCATCTCTCTCGACGAAGGAAACAAGGAAACGGCCAGTTTGAGTTGAAAAAGTGATGGCTTCTTCGTCAAGTCACTGGTCCCGGAGGATTTTTTGCACGAATGGAGGGAGTCCACGTACCGGTAAAAGATATGGTCTGGTACCAAAGCTGAAGATACAAGCCCTCCCGTACAGCTTCCACTATAGTAACCGTTCCCTGTAGGGTCTTTCCACAGCTGTACAGTTATCTCTCGCCATGAGAATTTGGTGATGAGAGACAACAATCCAGAATCAGCCCCAGAATCCAGAGATGATGAAGCAAAGCTCCAACATCCAACAGAGCCTTTGCTTGATCATGGATCCTCCTCGTTGACATCCAATGATGTTTGCTGCTGCCGAGTTGATGCAATCGTGCCAAATGTGTTGGTCTGTGCGTCAACAGATGTGGTTTGTAACGTCCAGATTGTCTTCAATACTCTTCAATAGACTATAGGAAGCTGGGGGGAGTATCTTTCCTGTTAATGCATTCTCATTTGTTCAAAGGATATAGTCCAAGTAGCGAGCAGTTGCGGCTTTGGGCTGTGGCAACCAAAATAGGTGTCAAAGTGCGTACTAAAGAACAGAGTTCCCATGGCATCTGTCTCAGATTTGCGGTTCCGAGTCCGCTTTACTCTAGTAACTTAGTGACGAGATCTTTACAGGTAGATACTTTCTGATGAGCAGCTGTAGATACCGTCGTAGCATATCCCACGGCCACCAGTTGGCCTCGGCAGCTCCGCAGCCCCCTAACAACGGTCCAACAGCATGAGGTGCTACTAGCACTACATCTACCAGTAGAGATCGGCGTTTCACTGGACCCATCAAGAAAAAATGAGACGCTGGTGGGAATTGGGAAGCGGGAGACCGACACGCTCCATTGTACCAGTTCTCGTACTGTTCAGATAACTGTAAACATGAACGTTAAATCATATGGTCTTCTATTCTTGACTACTGCCCTCTCCCCAGCGTTCCTTCAGATTCGATTCAGAGCCGAACCGCCTTACTGGTCCTGAAATCACCGGTAAAAGGTTGGGTAATTGTTGCGTTGGTCCAAACTGGTACTCTTGTGCTGCTCGCGGTATTACCGGTACCGGTATTGGAGATTGGAGGCTCTCAACTCTCAACACCCTACCAGCTACCAGCAGCATTTCGCCATGGTTTTGCTTTCATCTTTCATGATCATCTCTTCTGAAGCCCAGGTCGCCGCCTGCTTGGCGTAACCGTTGACATAGTCATCCATATCGATCAAGGTTGAAGGAAGGCAGGAGTGGCAAAACCAGTCATGACATCATCGCTGGCTGATGCACGTCGCTCACTGGTTTGGGCTGCTACTTGGCACGATCACAACTCTACTAGGCTTTGCGGAAGAGGAATGTATCTGATTCTGTTGGTATGGAACAAACGAAGATACTGGCTGGGGATGATTGCTTGATGACGCAATCTTCATCGCCAGCGAACATCATTTGCTGCCTCCGGGTTATCGAGATTCATTTTGCCTTCCTCCAATGAGCGGTCTTCAGGTTGCTTATCTCGTTGACTCGACCGAGCGAGTCGTCGGCGAAATAGGCTGTGTCTTTCACCACATCAACGATGGTCCCGTCCACTCGCGGTGAGAGGAATCGTGCGTTCTTCTGGCGTGTCCCCTTCGTCACTCAATATCAGTGTCTCATCTGCCCATGATCGTTATGGCTGGATCCCATGGATAGCTGGACCCCATGGAACCCTTCTCAGCCCGCCATATTGTGGCATACCGTAACCTTGGGTCGCTTGCCCTTGCCCTTGCTCTTGCCCTTGCTTGTGGTGGCGCAAAATCAAGGAGCAATTTCGAACCTTAACCAGCCTTGCAGGCTATGAATATTGGCAAGCACGACACACCGGGCGAGTTCGTTACATGTACAGTACCGGTACATACATTGTAAAGGAAACAAGAATAGCAAAGCAAACAACATCTCAGACGTTGCCACAAAAGCACCCGTTTGTCATCAAATCCTCTCATTACGAAAGAGTAGCAAAAGGTCTTGTTCTGCGTCCAAAATAGCCGATTGAGGTTTGCGAACAGTTCATGCTGAGTAGCTCTCTTCCTTTGGTTCGTCCTCGCGCAAGGAAATGTTGGCTCTTCTGTCTTGCAGCTTGCAGTGCTCGTTTCATCAAAGCAAACCGTGGCGCCTCAAACCCTTGTCTCTTGCTCATGTAGTTTGCGGAAGTGCTTGTGGAAGACCCTTCACGTTGTGGGCAACACTCTTTCCTCTGTGTGGTTGAGCGGTCGAGTCATCTTGCGGCGGTCCCATTGGAAGCGCGGGTTGCTTCGTGCTCGTGCAAAGTACTGTCGCGGTTTTTCTGCTTGGCCTGGTCTTCCATGCAGCTATGTTTCTCTTTGATTGTTTGGAAATCGCTGGGTGTGGTAGTGTGCTGGTGTCGGTGTGGGGCCTTCCTCTCTTTTGTTCGTCTTCGATTTCGGCGTGACGCCTATCTAGGTTATGACTTGGCGCTTTGAGCTTGGCTGTCTCCTCATCTGGTGCTGGGGACGGGCCTTCCTCGCGCAAGGTACAACCGGTAGTATCGTCGGTTCTCTGCTTCTGTTTCACTCATACGGTAGATTAGTAGCTTAGACTAGCTAGTAACTATGAAACTACTGCACCAAAGGATCCACGGAGCGATCAAGACCCGCCTGGCGGTTTGTCTTCACCCGGTTTGCTTGTTCATATTATCCATGTTGGCTGTTAGGTTGTTCTCCGTTCCTATTTGGACAATTGAAGATGCACTTTGCTTCCTTTGGAAAACTCAGGAAAGCTCTGGATCCCGACAACGGTCTCGGTGCTTGCACCTTCGTTTACGCCGTCAGACGATGTTGGAGACCCTTGTGAGAGGGTTGCTCGCAGTAGCCTAGCCAGAAGCAGTTGAGAAGAAGCAAAGAAGCGCTCTTTGCAGCCTGGCGTCCGTCTTCATGATGCGAGAACTTCGATGGAAATCTCATTTGCGACAAAGATGGCAACAACATTGAAACTACGTTTTAAAACGATAGATACTAGATAGCTTTTGTGTATCCCGTGCTCACTCTCGCTCTCATGACATGACATTACATTCTTTCCGTGACGTTATCAAATTTGCGAAGGATCAAATCTCGCGCATACTGTTCCGCAGAGGGTACATTTTCAAACAATAGATAGCTTCCAACAAAGTAGGTATTACGGATGCCTTGCAAGCTTTCCATGTCGTCAAAGAAACCATCGGCAAAGTCTTGTGAGGACACGGTTGGAAAATAGTTGGGCCATTCCCTTTGCAGAATAAGTTCGTCTACAGACCCTTGCCAATAATCTGCCATATCCTCTGCCAGTACTTGAAAGGCCTGATCCAGCGTAATGTTTTCATCCACCGCCTGGTATGCCACCTCCGCCGTAATGTTGGTGTAAGTCTGGGACACAGCATTCACATGATTGATGTTGACTTCAAACCCTTGCTCAGCGTAGAAGTAAATCTGTTGGTCGGTTCCATCGGATTCGACGTTGGCAACAGTGGCGACTATGCGATTGTACCTCTGCTGAGCAAAGAGCTCGGCCTCTTCGTCATTGATATCCAGGAAGGTGCTGGCAATGTCCAACGTAGTGGAAATCACAATCTGCTCAAATTTCTCTTCTGGCTGACCCTCTGCCTGGACAGTCACATAGTTGTCGTCTCTTTCGACAGAAGTTACGGCAGCATTGAGGCGAACATCCATATCTTGTGCCATGACCTCTGCAATGGACTGAAATCCACAGGGAAACCCGAACACCTCAATAATGCTTCCAGTAGCAGCAGGAAGGAGAATTGGATACATCAATTTGAGGACAATCCCAGCAGGCGTCTCTTCAAAGTAACCATATCCATATCCCACCAAGACAGGTCTGAGACCATCCACCAAGACGGAGAACCCATACTTTTCTCCGAATTCCGTCATTGGCATTGCCAGTTCGGGGTCATTTCCATCGATTCTAGGTGTTGCAATCTCTGGGAATAGCTCTATCGTGGCGTAAAAGGCTTGAAAGGCAGCCCCAATCGCCACTTGTGGGTCTTCCTCTGGGGCGATCTGCAGTGCGGAAACTCCCAAGAACTGGTCTCGAGTAAATCGACTGGTTGTCTCCCCATCCAGCTGGACGATGACATTGTCCAAGTTCCAACTGAGCGGAGCATAGGGAACACCCAATTCGTCTGCCAGGGCTTTCAAATTGTCTCCCGTTCCAATGATGGCTCCCAGATCCGTGGGACTCTGGTCTCCACAAAGTTCAAATGCTGCAGCTTCTGTTTCTTCATCCATCACCACCGTGTCTCTCGCAGGGACTCCATTCTCCAAATACAAACTTTCCATCTTGCCTCCCACGCGACCTTCTGCCTCAAACACTGTGACGCTATAGCCCAGCTTTTGCAGATTGTAAGCTGCCGTAAGGCCACTGATGCCACAGCACCAATCACTGCCACAGAACTGCAAAAAGAAGAAGTCAGGTTTTGTTTCTTTTAAAAAAGGACTCACTTGTGAAAAAAAGACTTACTTTTTGGAGGCACCTTCTCCACGATCCTCGCCATCATCTGGGCTGTCCTCTGGAGGCCCGCCCATAAAGCCAAGATCCTCATCTTCTTCAGCATGGATGCCAAACAAGGACAAGGATGCAACCAAAGCAGGGAGGAGCAGACGAAACTTCATTGTCTAACTTGCTTTTTGTGGGATTTTGAAGGCTTTACCTCCGGATTATCATTCCTTGGATGACCCATTGGATTCGTACACTCCAAACTCAATAATAAGAAAGCTCTAACTGGGAGTCAGAGTATCTCAAAGTTTGAGCTACTTGAGCAGCCCAAACATAATATGGGCCACTCGAGCAGCCCAAACTGATTTTGGAGGTTAGGCTACACAAGTAGCCCAAATAGGTGACGTTTTTTGAATGGTAGCATACAGCTACAAGCCACAAGTCACAAGCCACAACAGTCTAAACTTGTACACTTCCAATGGACAGCCCAAACACAAAGAGGCGAATTTAGGCTACTCGAGTAGCCCAAACACAGAGGGGTGAATTTAAGCTACTCGAGTAGCTCAAACAGAAAGGAACGAATTTAGGCTAACTGTCTGGAGTGAATTTATGCTACTCGAGTAGCCCAAACACCTTTCCGAGGAGAAGACTGAGCATCATGGAGTGATTTAGGCTACTGTAGCAGCCCACTAAAGGTGGTACAGGTAGTGCATTTAAAGACTTTACTGACAAGTGCTATCCAATGATGGGTCATCCAAAAAATGATCATCCAAAGGTGGCATTCTCTTCCAGATCAATTGACTGTTTATGAAACCTTTTCAGGTTTTGTCGCAGGTGTTGTCACAGAAGTGGGTTCCAGTAGACACATACTTCTCCCTCCTCAATAAGATAAATATATTCTGAGTCCAGTTTTGGAGGTATCTAAACTTTCAGCCAGAGCCACAGTGATTATTATCTTACAAGCAGCCCAATCTCAGTATCTTTCATATTTTATTGCCACTAGCAGCTATTGTCCTATACCATACTACTAAACATGCCGTCAGAAAGTGAGGAGCCACCACCAAAGCCAAAAAAGGAAAAGGTGGAGCCAAAATTGATGAAACCAAAGATGTTGTGGTAGAGGAGGCACCCAAGATGGGGATATGAATTACTTGGATGTAGGTGGTGGTGTGGGCGATAGTGGGTACTAGCTGCATTCAGTCCTCTACTACTGTAGTATTAGTATTAGCTAGCTTAGGATTCAAGATCACCTAGCTTATCTTACTGGGAAATCTGAGTGTCCGGGTTATCTTTTTTAAAAACATATCTGTAAAGTTGAGTAGACTATGTTGTGGATTCGCGATTAGGGATTAAATCCCTGTACCTCTGTACTAGAATTTCACACCAGTAGAAAAAGCCAAGGAACCACTTTTTCAGTAGTATGTTAGTTGCTCTAAGCTCTCTTCTAGTTGTTACTGTTGCTATAGGATCGCGACACGAGAAGAAGACCGTCGACGCGAAGACGATACCGACCAGGAGACTGTCAAGGAACGACAGCAACAAGAGAAGAACGCGACGACGCAACGAGAGCGACGCCGCAACGAGAGAAGGATCTGATCCGAGGACGTATTCGAATCCAAGCCGACAAAGAGTTTTCGACGGCAACGACGCGACGACGCAAGGATCCGAGGACGGATCGCGACGACGCGAGAGAGAGTCATCGGCAGAATCCACAAGGATTGCCGATAGGTCAGGAGAAGAGCCGACAGTATCCAGACGGAACTGTCAGAGCCAACAACAAGCGCGAAAGCCATAGTGCCAGCACAGGGGCCAAGGACGGGCACCCAACCAAGGAGTCACTCAACAAAGAAATGGGTTTGGAAAGGCCGCGACCGCACAGTGTGTGAAGCAATTGAGCCCACCTTACAAGATCTTTAGTTATAGACTTAACACTCCCTAGCCAGGAGTATAATTTGAAGTTTATCGCCCCATAGCCATAAGACGAATAAGTAGTCGGACGAGAACTTAAAATAAAAGAGCTAGCCAAATAAAAAAGAAAGAATTGAAATAGTCCACCTACCGTAGCATCGAAAATGAGCAGTAGAGGTAGAGGAAGGAGTGGCCGAGGCGGCAGAGGACGAGGGCGTGGAAGACCCAGCCCATCGTCTGCGAACCGGCAAACAGGCTCATGCAAAGCCCTCGAACACCATGTGTTCAATTTCGGTACAACTGGATCTGGAACAGCAGACCAGATGATACGAACATGGGAGAAGATCACCATCTACGTTGGACAACAGATGGGTGACGAAATCGCCAATGAGCTCCGGAACAAGGCACCAACAGTGTTGACGCCACCGGCATACTCACAGGAGACCCAGGATAGGATCCTCCAAGCAGCCGCACGACGCCTGCAGAAAAACACGCGTCTGTTAACGGCAAACCAGGCCAGCCTACAGATGCTGGACCAACAGATACTCGCGGTCCGCCAGGACCCGAATCAAATAGATAGGTGGAGAGCTTTAACGATAGAAAAAGCAAACACCATCAATGACATAGCCGACCTGCAAGAAGACATACAGAACCCACCGGAAGAGGAACTCCGGGGACTTGAGAAAACAGAGTATGGAGGACTCATGAAGACCTACCTTACTAGGTTGGCAAAACTACAAGAAAATAGGAGCAAAGCATTCAACTTGATCCTCGGGCAGTGCACCCGAATATTGAAGGACAAGATGACGCAGAACACGGACTACGATGCCGTCCTGCTAGGATGCGACCCACTGGAGCTATGAACAATGATCCATAAGACGATCATGGCCCAGACCGATGATAATTTTGTGTACCACACCATATACCAACTGGAAAAGCAACTGTTGGGTTTTAACCAAGGGAGCCTTACCGCTTCCGAATACCACGAGCCATTTACCACGAAAAAGGACATTGCAAAATCCGTGGGTATTTCCAAGCTACACGACGCAGCCCTGCTGCATACGGCTAAACTACTCCACCCCGGCACAGAATACGCCGACCTTGGAGCCGAGGAACAGAAGAACGTTTCGGCATACGCTGAAGAACGGTACTAAAGCTTAGCCGAGAACAACAAACTTAAACAACAAACTTAAACAGAACCTGAGGGACGACTTTGCCAAAGGCACTGATAACTATCCCCATACGTTACATGACGTATTACATCTCTTGGACAAACACACCAAGAGTAACACACCACGACAGTCCACTTCCCACGGAAGCTCCTTTGCTCAGACAGCACAAGGCGGGAGAGGATGGGGTGGTGGCAGAGGAAGAGGCCGCGAAAACACAGGCTTCGACAGTGATTACTGGAAAGACAAGGAATGCTTTAACTGCCACGAAAAAGGGCATCCAGCCACGTACTGTCCTAACAAAGATAAAGATAAAGATGACGATGACAAGTCAAAACAAAGCAAGTCGAGCAAGCATAGCAAATCAAGCACGTCGAGCAAGAAAAGCTCTAGTAGCAGTCAAAGGAAGACCTTAGCTACAATCGGCAAACTGCAGGGTAAAATGCAGAGCGCACTGACAACCCTGCAGGAAGAACAAGATGATGCCGACTCTGACATCACGGAGTCAGATTCAGAGAAAGAAGAGAAAGGTTTCTTTACGTTCGTACCGCTGTTCGCGGACGGAACGAAGAAACGCACGACTAAGCAAGGCATAGTCGCCCACACAAAAGGATTGGACGACATAGATATGAGAGAGGTCCAGCTACTGGACAACCAGTCCACGTTGGATTTATTCTGTAATAAAGACATGGTTACCGACATCAGGAAAGCCGATCGTCCCATTACAGTGAAGAGTACCGGAGGCAAGCTCAAGGTCCAGCACACAGCCAAGCTAGCTGGCCACAAACAGAGAGTATGGTTCGATGAAAGAGGAATCACGAACATCTTATCTGTTAAGAATGTCCGCAAGAATTGCGACATCGTCTACGACTGTCCGAAAGGAACGTACACAGTCATTAGACCAGGCCTACCGGACGTAGTATATGAAATGAACAGTGAAGGATTACACGTTCATGACCCTAGGAAACAGGGGAAGGTACTTGTAAATACTGTTGCCGAAAATAAAGAAGGCTTCAGTAAACGACAAGTTAAAGCCGCATCAAGGGCAAAGCTGCTGTACAAGCAACTCGTCTATCCATCGATTAAAGATTTTCGCTGGGCGATTATGAGCAATCAAATCGCAAATTGCCCAGTGACCATCGAAGACATCGATACGGCACAAGCTATATGGGGCAAGGATATTGATGCGTTGAAAGGCAAGACCACTCGGAAGAAACCGAATGCAGTGGCAGGTAATGCAATGAAAGTACCGAGAGACTTTTTGCAATTATACAAGGATGTGTTCCTGACGATGGACATCTTCTTTGTGGCAGGAATTCCGTTCCTGTTAATGCTAAGCCGTAAAATAGATTTTACAACAGCTAGACACCTGCCCAACATGAAGCTAGAGACCATCCTAGAAGGAGTTAAGGAGGTCTATCAATTTTACAAGGCTCGTGGTTTTAAAATCACGACCGTTCATGTGGACAATGAGTTTGAGCCTCTGTCCAACACAATCATGGCAATGCCGGGTGGACCGGTAGTCAACGTTGCCAGTGCTAACGAGGACGTACCCGAGATCGAAAGACGAATCCGGGTTGTCAAGGAAAGGACACAAGCTGTCCGGCATAGCCTACCGTTCACACGCATGCCAAAAATATTAACTGTCAACTTGGTGTTACAAGTCGTCAAACAGTTGACGTACTTCCCAAGTAAGGCGGGGGTCAGCGAGACAATGAGCCCCCGTATGATAATGATGGGAGAGTTCCTGGACTATAAAAAGCACCTGAGCCTGCAGTTCGGAGATTACTGTCAGGTGCATGAGGAAGACTCGCCCCGTAACAGCATGGTTGGACGCACAAAGGCGGCCATCTGTATGGGAATGAGCGGAAATAAACAAGGAGGTTACAAATTTATGAGCCTCCGCTCTGACAAGAAAATTACCAGGCATTTGTGGGACAAGATCCCAATGCCCGACACAGTGATAGCTAGAGTCAATCTATTAGGAAAAGATCAGCCTAAACTACTCGTTTTTACTGATTGAAAAAATAGACCCATATGTGATGTCGAGATCACAGGAGTGGAAGGGGAAGGGAGCAATGACGCACCCCCACTACCAA